TCCGTCGGGGGTGAGTGTGCTCTTGGCACGGACGTCCTTGAGGACAGGCACGAGGACCTTGAGTGTCTTGCAGCTGCTGCGACTCATCTCGTGTCCATGCTGCTTGCCCCTGAGGGAGACCCGGATGCTCTAGACATCCCGACCCCTCGCTCTTACGCTGAGGCGATCGCGGGTGAGTACTCCTCTCAGTGGCAGACAGCCATGGACGAAGAGATGGCATCCTGGAAGTCCACTGGCACTTACGTTGACGAGGTTCCCCCTTCTGGGGCGTAGCAACGCCCCCAGAACCGGCACCTCCAGCCTCACGGTCCCCAACTCCAGGGTCGATAGGACCAGCGCCAGGGCCTCCAGCAACAGCACCCCCAGAACCGGCACCTCCAGCTCCAGGGTCTCCAACTCCAGGGTCGACAGCACCAGCTCCAGGGCCTCCAGCCCCAGTACCTCCAGCAGCAGCACCCCCAGAGCCAACACCTCCAGCTCCAGGAGCAGTACTAGTCCCGGCAGCTCCAGTACCTCCAGTTTGAGCACCTCCAGGACCAGAGACACCAGCACTTCCAGCGCCTCCACAACAAGCAGCTCCAGCAGCACGACTCCTCAGGCGGGTACGCGACGCAAGCCACTCTTGTGCCTGCTGTGGTGAGACAGGCCCGCGTCGTGAAACGAGACCCAGAGGAACGCCAGCAGACTCAGCACCCCCAGCTCCAGGGTCGACAGCACCAGCTCCAAGGCCTCCAGCCCCAGAACCTCCAGCCGCAGCACTCCCAGAACCGGCACCTCCAGCTCCAGGGTCTCCAACTCCAGGGTCGACAGCACCAACTCCAGGGCCTCCAGCCCCAGTAACTCCAGCAGCAGCACCCCCGGAACCGACACCTCCAGCTCCAGGAGCAGCACTAGTCCCGGCAGCTCCAGTACCTCCAGTACGAGCACCTCCAGAACCAGAGACACTAGCACCCCCAGCGCCTCCACGACAAGCAGCTCCAGCAGCACGACTCCTCAGGCGGGTACGCGACGCAAGCCACTCTCGTGCCTGCTGTGGTGAGACAGGCCCGCGTCGTGAAACGAGACCCAGAGGAACGCCAGCAGACTCAGCACCCCCCGGCACCTCACGGACGGGCTAAGCACCCCCAGACTCCGCAGCCGCAGGATCAGCACCCCCAGGCTCCGCACTCCCCAGCACCTCACGCCCAGGCTCAGCACCCTCAGAAGCAGCACCTCGAGCAGCACCTCCCGCAGCAGCACCTGAGTCGCTAGTGACCTCTACAGGCTCAGCCAAGGGGGGGCGGGTCTACCTGAGACACACCTGAAGGAGCAGGACCCTGAGGGGGGAGGGGGTCTACCAGAGGGGGACCTGGAGCGAGGAAAAGCGGCGGGGGAGGGAGAGGGGCAGTGCGGTAGGGGAAGAGACGGTAGAAAGGAACCGACTCGTCAAAGGTGACGTCCTGAGAGGGGAAGACACGGCGCGAGGTGGGGTGGTAAAACTGCCAGCCAGGCGCGTCAGGGACAAAGCCAAGGAAGACACAGGGAATGGTGCGGGAGGAGAGCTTGTCCGCGGACGTATCGCGGATAAGGGCACGAGCACCCCAGATCCGGAAACGCGACGCATCGCCAACCTCCCCCGTCCAACGCAGTGTGGCCGAGGTCACCGGCAAGGAGACACGGGGCCAGAGGTTGAGCTGCTGCGCGGCGTACTAGACCGCAAACGGCCACAGAAAATGGGGAGCCCCCGCATGAATCATGGAGGTACGAGCGACCTCCATGACTAAGCCAATGCGGCGCTCAGCAACCCCATTTTGCTGTGGTGAGCCCGGAAGCGTGAACGACTGCTCGATGCCCTCCCCCTGATAGAAGGCCCGCAAGAGGTCGGAGGTGAACTCACCACCTCTGTCAGAGTGCAGACGCAGGACAGGAAGGTCCTGGCGGAACCTGCGGCGGAGCCGGAGACGAACTGCTCGGATCCAAGGGATCAAGACAGCAGGGACCTCACCCTTGGTGTGCAAGGGGAAGACCGTGGTGTACCGCGAGTAGTCGTCGACAACCAGCAGAAAGTACCGCTCACCGCCCTTTCCACGAACGCGGGCTGGGCCCCACACGTCCAGGTGGAGGGTATGCAGAGGAGCCTCTGTCGGGGGAAACGAGGAGGAGTGAGGAGCGACGCGCTGCCGCCCCTCGACGCAAGGAAGGCACGGCGGCGCAGGCGAGGCAGGGAGGGGAGGGAGAGACCTGGGAAGACGAGACACAAGGAGGCGACGGTGCATGCCACGTAGACGTGGCAGGGAGGGGTGGCCTAGGCGGTGGTGCCAGAGAAGAGTCTGGTGCGACAGGGAGCGACACTCACAAGGGGAGGCTACCTGACCTGACGCAGAAACCTGACCAGTAGCAGCTACCTGAGGAGGCGCAGTCGTCAGTGTGTAAAGACTCGACCCTGGCCGACGGGTAAACGTGGCCAAGTGGCGGCCGGTCCGGGAGCACGTACAGATCGCCACACGCTGTCTTCTAGGGGTAAAGGTGTCAACCCACTGGTCCTGGAGAACTGTGTTGCTCACCAAGTTCGTAGAGAACGAGGGGAGGTGGAAGCCTGTTAGTGAGCCAGACGGAACCGCCGGGCACGGAAGCATAGTGCTGGACCGTGCAAGAACTGGGCCCCCTGAGGGGTCAGCCAGAGAGACTGCAACAGGTGCAGGGAGTGGTGTGAGTGCAGTACTGTCACGGAAGAAGCAGCGGGAAGCACCTGAGTCAAGCGTGAAGGTGTGCAAGGCCTCAGCAGGCGCAGTACCTGAGGAAGCAGACTCGCTAGCACCTAAGGCAGCAGCCTCACTAGCACCTAGAGCAGCAACCTCTATACCGGGGTCGTACTGCACACATAGGTGACAGTCAACCTCAGCACCACCAGGCAAAGCAGACATGGCAGTAAGGATGGCGTCATAGTCTAATGCAAAGACAGCAACGCCCGACCTAAGCAGCTCAAGCCAGGGGGGGATCTCAGCCTCGTCGCCAAACTCTGTGCGCCAGGCGTCAGTCAAATAGGCGAAGCAGCGGGACTGTGCGTGACTAGGTGTCCCACAGGTCTCACCAGCTCGACGACCTGTGCGAATGACATACGGGCAGTGACCCGGACTCGGAGACGGCCCACGCTGGTAAAGCCACTCACGAAGCTGCCGGGGCGTAAGGGTCGGACGCCGCCGTAGCTGCATCTGGCCACCGCCAGACACTCCGCACCAAAAAGCGCCACAGGGACTGCTACGACGGCCGCCACCACTCCCACTGCTGCCACCAACGCCGTCACCACTCCCACCGGTACGACAAAGGGAAGTCATGGCGGGCAAGCTAGGAGGAGCGCGACCTCTAGGGCAGTACGGAGTGAAGGCAGTAGCACGAGTAGTAGTAGCAGCTAGAGCAGCAGGGCGGCGCGCGGCCAGAGCAGGGCGGCGTGCAGCCAGAGCAGGGCAGTAGCAGGCAGCAGCAGGTAGTAGCTCCTAGGGCAAAAGCACCTAGGGCCCTTTTTTTTTATTAAATTTATTTTAATTTTATTTAGGGTTTAGTAGGGCGCAGGCGCAGGGCAGGGCGCTGGCGCAGGCTGCAGCAGCGCGTGACGCGAAGGGCAGCAGAGTGCGACGCGACTGGCTGCCTTAGGGCGCGACGCGCTGGCTGCAGCAGAGCGCGACGCGCGAGGCAGCAGCGCGCAACTCGTGGGCTGCCTTAGGGCGTGACGCGCGGGCTGCAGCAGAGCGCGACGCGCGGGGCAGCAGCGCGCGACGCGCGGGCTGCCGTAGGGCTCGACGCGCAGGGCCGCAGCGCGGGCGTAGGGCAGGGCGCAGGCGCAGGGCAGGGCGCTGGCGCAGGGCAGGGCGCTGGCGCAGGGCAGGGCGCCGATGAAGGGCAGGGTGCCGGCGCAGGGCAGGGCGCCGGCGCAGGGCAGGGCGCTGGCGCAGGGCAGGGCGTTGGCGCAGGGCAGGGCGCTGGCGCAGGGCAGGGCGCTGGCGCAGGGCAGGGCGCCGGCGCAGGGCAGGGCAGGGCGTGCGCGGGGCAGCGCGACGCAGGGTAGTAGGGTAACGCGGTAACCGCAGTCGGAAGCTAAGTATGGTGGGCCCGAAAAAAAACAGTCCTACGTACCTACTGCTCTAATACCATGTCAAGATAGCAAGCAGTGATGATTGCATTGAATGAAATGTGGGTACAAGTACTAACCCTAACTTCGGGTTGTACCCTATATGGACTACCCCACTATAGCCTACACAGAACTAACACATATATGGTTTGACAGGAACTTGAGCTTCCAAAATTACTCAAATCGTTTGCTGACTTTTGAAGCAAAAGGCATTTATTTCAGACTGTTAATGCCAATTCGAGTTTTGAAGAGCGTGTGAATTTAAGATCGCAATTTGTTAACCTCTGTAATGTGTACGCACCTGCCCTGGGATGCACCTGAACAGTTCCTAGCCAAAGTTGCATGCATTTGAAAATGGCCGTATCGGAAACCATCGCAAATCGCGGGAAAACACCTGGAGTCGAAAACTACTCGCCAGCAACAGGTTTCCAACACGTTTCCCACTCCCGCCAAATTAGCGGTGTATGTGCGTAGGATACGCTACTATGTGCGCAAGGTACGCTACTAGGAGGAAAGACGTACGCCGTACGAAAGAAGCTTGGAGAAATGTGTTTGACGGGGAGAAATGTGTTTGACGGGGAGAAATGTGTGGGTCAGCTGAGTATTAGACAAGGAACACATTCGGACTTCAGGCGCGTTTGACGGAGGTATTGAGTTTGCGTGTGCGACTCGGGGTGAAACAAGGCGCCTGCGTAACGTGTTGGATACGCCAGGTTGCGGAACATATTTACGTACTTTGGGTTGACCTATATATTTGTTGTACTAGTCTGTTGAAATATCACTTCCCTCGCTTGAATTCTGTGTTCAAATCTGATTGCCAATCTCAGGGCCCGAGAATTAGAACTCGAGTTTAGGGCCCGTCAGCCTCCCGAGTGGCGTTTCGCGACCACCAGAAATGGCGGCAAAACGTCCCGCATACGACGAGGTCGCCGCGACAGCGCTCCCCTTCCTCCTCCTCATGATCCTTTCAGCATCGACGGACGCCGCAGCTCGACCCACCATCAGCGCTCTCCTCGCCGCCACTGGACCAGCGGCGCACCGCGTTGGCGGCGCCGGCCGCGCCGAGCATCTCGCGCGGCGGGCCCTTCAAGACGTCCCCGAGAACGAGCCGGGGGTGGAATCACCTGAGGAATGCCAGCAAGGGGAGCTCAAATGCCCCAGTGGCGGCGGGTGCATGCTCGAATCGCAGGTGTGCGACGGCAAGCCGCATTGCTCCGACGGCAGCGACGAGTCGCCCGACTTCTGCCGCTCTTTCGACTGCGGACTCGTTAACAAGGTGGGTGCTTTGCTGCTTCAAACTTCCGGTTTCAGTGGCTGCGGACTCGTTTCAGTGGCACGGCGCCGCTCCCTGAACACTTCCCTTCCGCGCTTCCTGACTCGACAAACTTTGAATTTTACCTAACTGCTTTCTAGAATGCCCATTCTTCCTGCCCGTTTTCACTTCCCTGTCAAGGTGTGCCACTTTGATTGGCCGCCCGCACGCCCTCGACCGCGAGCCAGGCTCGAAATCAGTCCTTCAAAGTCAGGCTTTAAGCGATTTTTTTCCCCCCACCATGCTCCTTCTCCACGCACGCTCACCAGCACTGCTGGATGCCTGTTTTTGAGGCGCTCAAGAAATTCCGTGTATTTTTTAAACAACGTGACGTTGTTTTGGAGTCAGACTCAAAGGAGCTCCCTCCCTCCCCCCCTGTCCTGCTGTTTCCCGCCCTTTCCCCCGCCAGGATTCCTGCCCCTCGGGCACCGGCTGCATGCCCCCGGGCACCCAGTGCAATGGCGAGGCGGAGTGCGCGGACGGCAGCGACGAGGGGGTGGAGTGCCTGGGGTTCTACCCGGGCGGCCCCCCGGACAGTTACCAGGTCGGCCCGGACTACAGCAACTACTGCAGCGACCAGGGCATGGAGCAGTGCCCCTCCGAATGGTTCGTGTGCCTGCAGCAGCAGGAATTCTGCGACGGCTACCAGACGTGCTCCGACGGGTACGACGAGAGGAATTGCGCGAACCACGTGTGCTCGGCCGGGATGATTCAGTGCCCCAAGACGTTCTACTGCGCGCGGGGCACGATGTGTGACGGCGTGCAGGACTGTGTTGCGACTGCTGAGGCGGAGGACGAGGATAAGGCGTTTTGTAGCGGGTATAGCTGCCCGGATGGGTTTAAGAAGTGTGCGGATGGGTTGCAGTGCGTGGCGGAGGGGTTGTTTTGCGACGGGACGGTGAATTGCAATGATGGGAGTGACGAAGGGGCGGCGGTGTGTGCGGTGAACCCCCCTGCTGGTGGAGCTGGTGGCGTTACGACTACCCCTCCTTCTCCTCCTGCACCTGCTGGCGGCAGTGACAGCGGCAGTAGCAGCAGTGGGGGTTCAACTGGGCCGTCTGGAGGGACTGTGGTGCTGAGTGCTGAAGAGGTGGCGAGGCAGAGGAAGGAGGCAGCGGCACGGAGGGCGGCTGCTGTTGCTGCCAAGAAGCAGGCTGCTGCTGCTAAGCATGCTGCTGTGGAGGCACGGCGGGCGAAGCAGGAGGCGAAAGCAGCTGCGATTGCTGAGAAGAAGAAGAAGCAGGAGGAGAAGGCTGCTGCTGTTGCGGAGAAGAAGAGGCTTCAGGAAGCTAAGGCGGCTGCTATAGCTGAGAAGAAGAAGAAACAGGAGGAGAAAGCTGCTGCTGTTGCTGAGAAGAAGAGGAAGCAAGCCGAGAAGGCGGCTGCAATTGAGGCTAAGAAGAAGTAGGCTGAGAAGGCTGCTTCGATAGAGGCAAGGAAGGAGAGGGAGGCTGCAAGGGCAGCAGCTGCGATCAAGTGAAAAGGAACAGATGGACAAACATAACAATATCATGTAATAATACCGTGTGTGGCTTGCATCTGATTTTCTGTATTGCTATGTAATGTTTGTTGTTTGTTTTGTTGTTTGTTGTCTGTTTTGTTTTCTATGTATGTCCTAGGCAGGGCTGACTATTCAAAAAAATCCAGTCTGATGTTCTGGGGGCTCTGAAATTTTTTAGTCTGAGGCATATTTCCCAGAGAATGGCCACTCTGATTTTTCAGGTTCCGCAAAAACACAAGTCTGAAGTACTCAGAACACACTACAACCACTGCAGTACAGTACTGCCACAAATGTAGCACGTGGGGCGCAACGCTAACCAGTTTCCCTCGCTGACACCGCGTAGCTGCAGTGATGGTCCCGCGTGAGTGGAAGAGTGAGCCAAGTTGGCAGATTTCTAAGGGAAAAGGGTGGCAAAAGTTGCCAAGGACAGATTCTGCGCGTGACAGCGCCATGAAGTGTGTTCGTACACTGGCAACATATGACGTAGCGGAATGTACGTAGAAATCACAGATCCGCATTTCAGGATCCGTACTCCCTGTAGTATGAAGACCCATTATCGGCTAAGTCAGTACTCTGAAAATCTCAGGATCCAAAACCAAGTAAGTCTGAGGCACTCATGTTTGAAAATCTTACAAGTCTGAAAAATCAGGATCCGTAGGAAAATACCCTGAGATTTCAGACAATCAGACTATTTTAGTCTGATAAAGTCAGCCCTGGTCCTAGGTGAAGATGTTGGGTTGGGTGTCATTTGAATACGAAATGCAATCTGTATGCTTGCTTGCTTATATTATGGATCGAGAAAGCTTGCTCTCTGTTCTTGCAATGGCAACGTGCTTCATTAGAATTGGGGTAATTACAGCATTCTCGTCCAACTATTAATTGTACATGTATATGACCAGGGTGGGTGGGTGGGGACTGTAACTACAAAGTTCGACTGAAGACGTGGGTGGAGGCCAAATGGCCTCCAACCCTCGTTATATACTCGGCGAATGGTAATTCGCAGTTGCCTTGCTGCGCTACAGTCAGCTGCGCTTTCACAATACGCATTTTTAGAAAGTGTTACACACTTTCAAAAAAAATCATATTGAGAAAGCTTGCTCTCTGTTCTTGCAATGGCAACGTGCTTCATTAGAATTGGGTCATCTGAGACATGTGCGATTGGGGACGTAGGAGACGTGTAGTTGCAGTTGATGGCATCGACAACGTGCTGAGGAGGGTGCCGTTGGTGATTGCGATCGCCGTGTCGATGGGGTTTGGACTGTTGTTCAGGGAGGTTGCTCTTTCCCTTGATATCCTGGTTGTTGGTGCGGCGGTAAAGTATGGTTGGAACTGGTAGTAGTTGGTATTGATCTGTTGAATATGTGACGTAGTGAACAGCAACTGAGTTTATGCTGGATAAGTATTATTGTCATGAGCTGTCATTCATGGTCGCATGTGTTCGCTAGAACACACGAGAGGACAAATTGACATTGCCCACTGGCGCACGACCATCATGATGAGGAATCGCAACCCAAGGAAGGAGCTGGATGGCTTGGGTGTAGTCTGAGGCGCGAGAGTTGCGCGAGGGAGTGCACCTTATGAACGCTAGGCAAATGTCGACCATGTCATTATTTGGAATATGGATTTCGATTCACAGAATGATCAGTCATTGTATAGCAACGCTCTTTCAACATAGCACTCGCTTGTCTCTATTGCCATGGCCCATATCTACAATTATTGATTAGAGCTGGCTCATCCCTTCAGTTCTTTAGGGAGAGTACCGCAGCGCGAGTACGGTATTTAGTCGAGCAAGGCTTTCTGTAACAAGTACCTAATAGTTCCTGGTGTATCAAAATGGTATGGGAATTCGACCATCAACGGGTCGATCTATACAGTAATGAGGACCTTGATTAGGTGATTGCATGAGCAGCTCCAAACTACTATATGGCCACGCCGGGCCAAATAATGTGCTTGCTTGCCGACGACCATGCAAATTATACGCAAATGGGAGAGAGTTTGGGCGATATGCTTCCACGTTCACCGCATGGTGCGTGCATCCAAGCATACTGTATATACGGGACTATAAACGTTGGACTCCTACTCTTTGCATTTAGCGACACATTTGAAAGCAAGTTGACTCTTCCTTGCAACCAAACTCTTAATAAGCATCTCCATTTTAAGGCCACACCAAGTGTCATACCAGCCTCCCTTTCTTGGGGAACAACCCTCTAGCCAACAGAAATCTCATGCCCCTTTCCCCCTAGGAAACAACCTCTGACAACAGACGTGACCCTCAGTGTAGAATGTGAAACAATGTAGAAGTTGTATTTTGCAATCAAATGTTCCAGATGTGCTATGCACTTCAAACAGTTTGATGTTCCTTGACAATACAACGCGAGTTGTCAAGAATTGTATCGTTTATGGAACTGCATACAATATAGTTAATGTAGTAACACGAGTGTCTGCAATTGAAATAAACACCAACGTGACGTAGCATTTTCTTGACACGAAAATTCAATCCGTAACTCCCAACGGCACATTCATGTTCATACGATGCGCGGACTGTTGATGGGTAGCACGCACGTTTCTTGTCAAGCATGTACGATAGAACAAGTTGGATGTGCAATGCACGATGGCGAAAGCCGGTACCGTATTCCTTCCGCATTGCACTGCAAAAGAAGCAATGACTGAGGTTTAGGTCTAGTGAGATTCACAAGCCTTCCTTAGTTGCACTCTACCAACAAAATCTCCCCCTTCTTTTGTAATCATATCACTCCAAACAAAATCTCCCCCAATTTTAGGTGGGGCTTCGAACCAACCATTGTGGATTGAAGAGCTTACGGTAAAGATTAGATGGGGCTTCAAGCCTCCTCTCTTCATGTGTGTGTGTGTGTGTGTTTTTTTTTTTTTTTTTTTTTTTTTTTTTTTTTTTTTTTCATGTTATATCGTATACACATTGCAATGTCCAAGGATGATCCACATCAACGTATACAAAAATTAAAGGTTTTGCACATCTAACATTGGAGTCTGCATGGTAGTGGCCCTCTGGCCAGCATAGGACTTTGGGTAGTATTCCCGCGTGGGGACGGCTCTCAGGCCACACGGGGACCCTCAGTCCCCTGCCCCCCCTGGGGACGCCTCTCAGGTCACACAGGGACCCTCGGTCCCCTGCCCCCCTTTGGGAACGGCTCACAGGCCACACAGGGACCCTCGGTCCCCTTCCCCCCCTGGGGAACGGCTCACAGGCCACACGGGGACCCTCGGTCCCCTTCCCCCCCTGGGGAACGGCTCACAGGCCACACGGGGACCCTCGGTCCCCTTCCCCCCCTGGGGAACGGCTCACAGGCCACACGGGGACCCTCGGTCCCCTTCCCCCCCTGGGGAACGGCTCACAGGCCACACGGGGACCCTCGGTCCCCTTCCCTCCCTGGGGAACGGCTCACAGGCCACACGGGGACCCTCGGTCCCCTTCCCCCCCTGGGGAACGGCTCACAGGCCACACAGGGACCCTCGGTCCCCTTTCCCCCCCGGGGAACGGCTCACAAGTCGCACAGGGACCCTCGATCCCCTTCCCCCCCTGGGGAGCGACTCTCAGGCCACACGGTGACCCTCGGCCCCATCTTTTCGTTTGGAGATGTCCTTCCGTGTGCGTGCAGTAGATCCTGTCGCTGGTGCGATTTTTTCCACCGCGACTAGTAAAGTCCCACTTCTGTGGTGTTGAGACCGTTTTTCTTAGGCGCTGCAGAGGCATTTCGTGTCACTGCCGCGTCATTGGCGATTCCGTGCCGCAGGCGCGCGTGTGGCGATTTCGCCACTGACGCAGTGCCACAGGCGAGCGTGTGGCGATTTCGTCTCTGGCGCGCGCCACTGGCGCCAATGGCGATTTCGTCCCTAGCGCGCGCCACTGGCGCCAGTGGCGATTTCGTCCCTAGCGCGCACCACTGGCGCCAGTGGCGATTTCGTCCCTGCCGCGCGCCACTGGCGCCAGTGGCGATTTTGTCCTTGGCGTGCGCCACTGGCGATTTCGTCCTTGGCGCACCAGTTGCTGTCTCCTCCGGCGCACTTCGCTTTCAATTGAACGCACGTCAAGTATAGTCGCATGTCTGAAACTGTTACTCTTCACGGTGAACATGCGGGGAAGTGCGTGCGTAGCAGTTGGGGAAAACGAAGTAGTAAATGTGGCTTGTCTGCGAAGTAGTACTAGAATCAAGATGACAACGGGAAACCGAGTGGTTGGACGAGAATGGACTGTAACTACAAAGTTCGACTGAAGACGTGGGTGGAGGCCAAATGGCCTCCAACCCTCGTTATATACTCGGCGAATGGTAATTCGCAGTTGCCTTGCTGCGCTACAGTCAGCTGCGCTTTCACAATAAGCATTTTTAGAAAGTGTTACACACTTTCAAAAAAAATCATATATAATGACTTGCAAGAAGCCATGGTGGTAGTATTTCAGCTTCCAAAACTAGTTACGCACATAATAATAACGCACACTGCGGTCCTTTGGGGAGGCGGGGCGACAGGTGGTGTGCAAGGACGCATGCAATGCAATCAACTCAGAAAGGCTACATTGCATGGTGTGGTACTGGTATTATTGACAAATGCCCCACTTGCACAAGCCAATGCTCCAACACAAGACTAGTCCCCTCCCCAGACAAGAAACGTGTGGCTTGTAAATGTGCGCACCCATCAACTAGAACTATATTTTACAAAAACATACAAAAACCTCTGGTTTTCACTATTTATCACAAAATAAGCCGGCCATTTGCATCCCAGGGTCTACTGCTGTACGCCTTGCCCTTCATGGATCGCTTCTTGGCGATGCTGCCATCCTCCTGGCGCTAATCTTTTGCAGTCAACTCTCAGAGTCACCTCGCTCGTCACAATATAAGCTTGCCATGTGCATCCCACGGCCTGCTGCTGTACGCCTTGCCCTTCATGGATCGTTTCTTGGCGATGCTGCCATCCTCCTGACGGTAGTCGGGGAAATAGTCCAGGAAGGCCTTGCTGCCCAGCTCGTGGGACCCCGCAAACAGGAACCCCTCGATGAACTCCTGGCAGGGGGTGAGGATGGGGTGGGAGGTGGTGGGGGTGGGGGTTTGAAGGTGGAGAAGAATAGTCCAGGAAGGCCTTGCTGCCCAGCTCGTGAGACCCCGCACACAGGAACCCCTCGATGAACTCCTGGCAAGGTGGGGATAGGGCAGAGGTGAAGGGAAGGAGAGTGAGAGTGGGCAGGAGGGGGAGGGAGAGAGGGGTGAAGCAGAATAGTCCAGGAAGGCCTTGGTGCCCAGCTCGTGGGACCCCGCAAACAGAAACCCCTCGATGAACTCCTGGCAGCCGGGGGGGAGGGGAAGGGTTAGGGGGGTGGGGATGCAGCAGAGTAGTCCGGGAAATAGTCGAGGAAGCCCTTGCTGCCCAGCTCATGAAACCCCGCAAACAGAAACCCCACGATGAACTCCTGGCAGCGGGGGGAGTGGGTGGGGGAGTGGGTGGGGGAGTGGGGGTTTGAGGGGTTAAGGAATACAGCAGAATAGTCCAGGAACCCCTTGGTTCCCAGCTCGTGCGACCCCGCACACAGGAACCCCTCGATGAACTCCTGGCAGGGGGTGAGGATGGGGTGGGAGGTGGTGGGGGGTTGAAGGTGGAGAAGAATAGTCCAGGAAGGCCTTGGTGCACAGCTCGTGAGACCCCGCAAACAGGAACCCCTCGATGAACTCCTGGCAGGGGGACGAGAGGGCAGAAGGGAAGGGAAGGAGAGTGAGAGTGGACAGAAGTGGGGGGGAGAAACGCCTTGCTGCCCAGCTCGTGCGACCCTGCAAACAGTAACCCTTCTATGAACTCCTGGCAGCGGGGGATCGGGCAAAAGCAAAAGGAAAAGGTCGCAGAAAAATATTGTCAACAGAGAGACAGTGAGCATGGATAGTCTGAGCAAGAGGAGAATGATCCTGAGAATGCATCAAAGGAGTTGGAAAAGCATCACACAAGAAAGAGGGTTCAGTGAGTGGACCCTCAAAGAGTTGCAGGTGAAATGGAAGGAGGCTGATGGCAGAAACGGGTTTGGCAGGGGGGAACTCACCTCACATCTCTCAGAGCCAAACAGGCGCGTTAAAAGTGGCCGCCCGGGGTCCTGGATGGGAGTGGGTGGACGGGTGAATGATTGATTGGGTGAATGTGTGAGTGTGTGATACAGTGAGTGAGCGAGTGTGTGAATGAGCGAGTGTGTGAATCATGGATTAGGTGATTGTGTGTGGACAGGTGGAGGAACGATAGAGAGAGGAGAGCGGGAGAGAGAAAGAGACGGAGGGGAGAGAGAAGAGAGGGAGTAAGGCTGGTGAAAGGAAGACCAGTGAGATGCGGGAGACAAAGGTACCCGTTAACAGCATCTCCTTCACTGTGTGCGCCAGCAATAGTGAAGGGAAAACAAAACCCAGCAACAGCACAGCAGAAGAAACAAGAATCGCAAATTCCATAGCCATCCCCACCGCACGAACACAAGTAAACAAACACGCAAGCAGCAAGGCCCTTACCTTGACAGAGCGCCAGCAGATGTAGCGGTGCTGTGACTCCATGTTGTGTGCCATGACTGCTGGGTCACTCGTGGGCTCGCATGCGTCTACCATGCGCAGCCATGCCTGCACATAGTAGGGATGGAAAAGAGCAGGGGAAGGGCAGTGGTGAGTGGGGAGTGGGGGGAGAAAGGCAGTAGCTGGTGGGCTCACATGCGACTACCATGCGCAACCATGCCTGCACGCGACAGAGGGAAGAGAAGGGCTCGGGGGAGGGGGGTAGGGGAAAGGGGTAGGGGAAATGGAGGAGGAGACAGGCAGATGCCATGACTGCTGGGTTGCTGGTGGTCTCACATGCGTCTTCCATGCGCAGCCATGCCTGCTTGCAGTAGGGAGGGGAGAGAGCAGGGGGGTAGGTGTAAGGGAAGGGGAAAGGAGTAAGGTGCCAGAATAAACGGTCGCTGGTGGGTTCACATGCGCCTACCATGCACAGCCACGCTTGCATGCAGTGAAGGGCGGGGAAGGAGGGGAAGGGAGGGGAAGATGCAGTGAAGGGAGGGGAAGATGCAGTGAAGGGAGGGGAAGGAGGGGGTTAACGTACAAAACAGGAAAGGGTTCAGGTAAGGGGGAAGGAAAATGGATAAAGGAGGAAGGAAAAAGGAGGAAGAACAAGGGAGGAAGGATATATGGCGCTTCACCTCTCACATGCCTCCACCATACACATCCCCACTATACACATCCCCGCTATACACATCCCCACCATACACATCCTCACCATAGACATCCCCGCCACACACATCCCCGCCATACACATCCCCGCCACACACATCCCCGCTTCACACATCCCCGCCACACACATCCCCGCCATACACATCCCCGCCATACACATCCCCGCCATACACATCCCCGCCATACACATCCCCGCCACACACATCCCCACTACACACATCCCCGCCATACACATCCCCGCCACACACATCCCCGCCATACACATCCCCGCCACACACATCCCCGCCACACACATCCCCACCATACACATCCCCGCCACACACATCCCCGCCACACACATCCCCACCATACACATCCCCACCATACACATCCCCGCCACACACATCCCCGCTACACACATCCCCGCCACACACATCCCCGCCATACACATCCCCGCCACACACATCCCCGCCACACACATCCCCGCCACAAACATCCCCGCCACACACATCCCCGCCATACACATCCCCGCCACACACATCCCCGCCATACACATCCCCGCCATACACATCCCCGCCACACACATCCCCGCCATACACATCCCCGCCATACACATCCCCGCCATACACATCCCCGCCATACACATCCCCACCATACACATCCCCGCCATACACATCCCCGCCATACACATCCCCACCACACACATCCCCACCACACACATCCTCAGCTTTCCTACTCACAGAAGCCCACCTTATGAAGCCCACCTTATGAAGCCCACCTTATGAAGCCCACCTTATGAAGCCCACCTTATGAAGCCCACCTTATGAAGCCCACCTTATGAAGCCCACCTTATGAAGCCCACCTTATGAAGCCCACCCTCCACATCCACACTCTCTACCATCAGCCACGCACCTGCAGGTACTCCTTGAAGGCGGGCAGCAGCACGCGCTCTTTGGGTCGACTCAACAAGCACACACACACACACACACACACACACACTCCAAAAGCACACACACTCCAAAAGCACAAAGTCACTTTTGAGTCGCCTCAAAAGTCACCAAAAGCAAAGCACACTCCCTGCCGTCATTTTCTTCACTGTCAACCATGATGTCTTTTACATGTCTCAACAAGTACACCTTTATCAAGTGTCAACCATGACTTTTTTAGTGTCGACCATGACCTCTTGAGTGTCGAGCATGACCTCTTGAGTGTCGACCATGACCTCTTGAGTGTCGACCATGACCTCTTGAGTCCGCCACCCACCTGCAGGTACTCCTTAAAGGCGGGCAGCACGTGGGCGGTGACGTCAGCATCAAGGGGCAGCTTGGCCCAGAGGAGAGCCGGGGAGAAGAACTGAAGCGACTCCGCTGTGAACTCGCCCCCCCATGGCAGGTGCTGGTGGGGGTGGTTGTGGGGGTTTGGGGGGGGACAGGGCGCGTTGTCAGATGGCTGTGAAGGCAGCTTGGCCCAGATGAGTGCCGGGGAGAAGATCTGCAACGACTCAGCTGTGAACTCGCTCCCCCACGGCAGATGCTGGTGGGCGGGAGGGTGTTGTGGGAGTTGCGGGGGGGGAGAGGGAATGTTGTGAAAGGCCTTTGAAGGCAGCTTGGCCCAGAGGAGTGCCGGGGAGAAGATCTGCAGTGACTCGCGGGGGGGCGAGTTCACAGCACCACACAGCACCGCACAGCACTGCCCTCTACCTCACAGCAGTACCTCGATGTACTTGTTGGCGAGGGGCATGATGGGCGCAATGTACTTGCTGAAATGCTCCTCAGTTTGATGCAGTGGGTTGAGATCCCTGCAAGGCGGAAAGGGGAAAGGGAAGGGGAATAAAGGAGTGGTGGTTGGATAGAGATGAGACACACGACGAGGGGACAAGAAAACGTAGCACAGCGAGTAATAGAGAAGAAGGTAGCAGAGATAAAGCGACTGACGAGAAACATCGGGACCGTGCCGCTCAATACCGCTGCTGAGGTACCACTCAGTGCCACTGAGGTAACACGCAGCACCGCTGATCACCATTGAGCACAGAGCACTCCCTCATAGCATGATGAGGATGGCCCGTGGGAAGGTGACAAGGTCGGGACAGAAGTAGCGCACAGTAACACTGAGGCTGAGGTACTGCGCAGCACCGCTGACTACCGTTGAGCACCGCATTGAACACTAAGAGTACGATAAGGTGGCCCTGGGCGGAAGTGACGAGGACCGCCGCCCAGAAGTACCAATGAGCACTTACAGCACGATGAGGTGGTGTGGCCCAGGGGGAAGGTGACAAGGTCGGCACAGAAGTACCATCTAGTACCGCTGACTACCGTGGAGCACCGCACTGGATGCTCACAGCACGATGAGGTGCCCCCGGGGGAAGGTGACAAGGTCGGCACAGAAGTATGGCAGGTCGTACTCGGGGCGCGGGAAGGCGATGAGGTTCAGCACCTGCATTTCACGTGTGTGTGTCGTGTGGGGAGAGGGGACGGAGTAAAGGGAGGAAGGAGGGATCGGGTGTGACAAGGTCGGCACAGAAGTACGGCAGGTCGTACTCGGGGCGGGGGAAGGCTATGAGGTTCAGCACCTGCATTTCACATGTGTGTGTCGTGTGGGGAGAGGGGACGGAGTAAAGGGAGGAAGGAGGGATCGGGTGTGACAAGGTCGGCACAGAAGTACGGCAGGTCGTACTCGGGGCGGGGGAAGGCGATGAGGTTCAGCACCTGCATTTCACATGTGTGTGTCGTGTGGGGAGAGGGGACGGAGTAAAGGGAGGAAGGAGGGATCGGGTGTGACAAGGTCGGCACAGAAGTACGGCAGGTCGTACTCGGGGCGGGGGAAGGCGGTGAGGTTCAGCACCTGCATTTCACATGTGTGTGTAACAAGATTGTGTGCAACAAGAGTGTGTGCAACAAGAGTGTGTGCAACGAGAGTGTGTGCAACAAGAGCGTGTGCAACAAGAGCGTGTGCAACAAGAGCGTGTGCAACAAGAGCGTGTGCAACAAGAGCGTGTGCAACAAGAGTGTGTGCAACAAGAGCGTGTGCAACAAGAGCGTGTGCAACAAGAGCGTGTGCAACAAGAGTGTGTGCAACAAGAGCGTGTGCAACAAGAGCGTGTGCAACAAGAGCGTGTGCAACAAGAGCGTGTGCAACAAGAGCGTGTGCAACAAGAGCGTGTGCAACAAGAGCGTGTGCAACAAGAGCGTGTGCAACAAGAGCGTGTGCAACAAGAGCGTGTGCAACAAGAGCGTGTGCAACAAGAGCGTGTGCAACAAGAGCGTGTGCAACAAGAGCGTGTGCAACAAGAGCGTGTGCAACAAGAGCGTGTGCAACAAGAGCGTGTGCAACAAGAGTGTGTGCAACAAGAGTGTGTGCAACAAGAGTGTGTGCAACAAGAGAGTGTGCAACAAGAGTGTGTGCAACAAGAGCGTGTGCAACAAGAGCGTGTGCAACAAGAGCGTGTGCAACAAGAGTGTGTGCAACAAGAGTGTGTGCAACAAGAGTGTGTGCAACAAGAGTGTGTGCAACAAGAGTGTGTGCAACAAGAGTGTGTGCAACAAGAGTGTGTGCAACAAGAGTGTGTGCAACAAGAGTGTGTGCAACAAGAGTGTGTGCAACAAGAGTGTGTGCAACAAGAGTGTGTGCAACAAGAGGGTGTGCAACAAGAGGGTGTGCAACAAGAGCGTGTGCAACAAGAGCGTGTGCAACAAGAGTGTGTGCAACAAGAGTGTGTGCAACAAGAGTGTGTGCAACAAGAGTGTGTGCAACAAGAGTGTGTGCAACAAGAGTGTGTGCAACAAGAGTGTGTGCAACAAGAGTGTGTGCAACAAGAGTGTGTGCAACAAGAGTGTGTGCAACAAGAGTGTGCAACAAGAGTGTGTGCAACAAGAGTGTGTGCAACAAGAGTGTGTGCAACAAGAGTGTGTGCAACAAGAGTGTGTGCATCAAGAGTGTGTGCAACAAGAGTGTGTGCAACAAGAGTGTGTGCGTGAGGAGGGAATGGGAGAGGTCGAGGGATGGGATGTTAGAAGGCACTCCCAATGGAAGTATGGCAGATCTTACCTCGGGGCAGGGGAAAGCTATCAGGTTCAGCACCTACTTTTTTCCACGTACCGCCCCAAACCTCTCACTGCCACGCTGGCAGTACCGCCCCAAACCTCTCACTGCCACGCTGGCAGTACCGCCCCAAACCTCTCACTGCTCTGCTTCCTGCACCAAGTCCCACGGTCCCACCCACCTACCCCAACGCGCGCACACCTGCAACGTGCGCCCAGCGCTGATACCGGCGGAGCGCATGGGGCGGATCCGCACTCACTGCCAAGCTGCCAGCCGTGATGCCATTACTGCTACCACATGCCATGCCCATCACTGCGCTGCTCTGCTCTGCTCCTTGCCGGGGCTCCCTTGCTCACCTGCAATGTGCGCCCAGCGCTGATGTCAGCGGAGCGCATGAGGCGGATCTTGGTCGCACTCACTGCCACGCTGCGACAGAACGCCTTCCCCCCCTCGCCGTCACTGCCCTCCAACACCTGCCAGTCCGACTGGCGGGGGGAAAGTGGGGAGAGGGGACGAGAAGGAGAATATTTGAGTTGACTTTTCCCCCCCTCGCCGTCACTGCCCTCCAACACCTGCCAGTCCGACTGGCGAAAAGGGGGAGAGGGGGCGAGAAGGAGACTATTTTGAGTTAAATTCCCCCCCCCTAACCATCACTGCCCTCCAACACGTGCCAGTCCGGCTGGTGTGAAGAGAGGTGTGGGGGGCCCAGAGAGAAGGAAACATGAGGCGTTCCACTCCCCCCCGTGTTGTCACTAACCTTCAGCGCCTGCCAAATCCGGCTGGGAGTGGGGAAAGAGGGAGAGGAGAGGGGAGACGAGGGGGGGTGGGGAGGGGGTGGGAAAGAACTAGGTAATAGGCGAAAGTGGTGAAGGTATTGACGGAAAGAGGACTGAGAAGGTATTGACGGAAAGGGGACTGAGAAAGTATTGACGGAAAGGGGACTGAGAAGGTATTGACGGAAAGGGGACTGAGAACGTATTGACGGGAAGGGGACTGAGAAGGTATTGACGGAAAGGGGACTGAGAAGGTATTGACGGAAAGGGGACTGAGAAGGTATTGACGGAAAGGGGACTGAGAAGGTATTGACGGAAAGGGGACTGAGAAGGTATTGACTGAGAATAACAGCAATTACCTCACACCATGCAAAGCTGAAAGCCAAAAACTGAGGGCACGCATACCATACCCGTACGGGGATGGGCGAGAGCGGCATGTGCTGACCTCGCCTCCACACAGTGGTTTTTTAGTCGACTCAAGAAGAACGCACACCCCACACCATGCAAACCAGAGAGCACGTGTTACATACCCGTACGGGGATGGGCGAGAGCGGCATGTGCTGACCCATGGCCTGCACACAGTGCTCCACAAACTCTGTATACAGTCCCCTCTCCCTCTCCCTCTCACTCCCTCCCTCACTCTCTCCCCCTCTGCTTCCCGCCTCCGCTTCCGCTCCTGCGCCCCTTCCGCCGCTCTGCTCCCCCTCCCTCTCCTTCAATACTGTCACATTCCCCTGCGGCGGGCTGCTGGCCGCACTAGAAGCACCTTCCGCGCTTTCACCTCCGCCGCGCGCGGCGGAAGCACGCGCGCATCCCGCCCTGTGGCTAAGAGGCGTGCGACTGCGAAGTTGGTCGCTCGCGCGCAGTGCGCGGAGCTGGTGTGCTGCGCGCGCCAAGGCAAGCCGCGGAAGCGGAAGGCGGAACTTTGGGGTGCCGTACGAAGTGCAAGACAGGACGACGGGCGTGGGTAGTGGGAGTCGTTTCGTGAAACGTCCTGAAACGAGTCGTACATTGCTAGTTGGCGTCGCCGCGGACGGCGCTGGGAAGGCCAATGGCATCATGGCGTTAGGCGGAGTGGAAGCAACGGAAAATTAGGAGATTACACGCGCTGCAAGCTGGTTTTCTGAGAATTCTCAAATCCACGCGCCGCCGCGTTAGGCGCACTTTACAATGCACCGCCCCGACGCACTGTACGCGTGTTAGGACGCCTTAAATCTCGCGACTTGCAGCAACTCGGGGTGACTATGTCGTTCGTGGCACAGAAATGTCGCAGATTTAGAGGCTCGTGAGTTGTGACATAGTCAGGTTGCGAAGTAAAAACGGGAACAAGCTTCAGCAAAAAACTGCTTGGGAACCGAAGAAGGCAGGAAAAGGAGTCTTGGGAATGGCCATTTTGTCAGCGAATTCGTTTGTCCCAAGATGTTCGTCAGAAAGGAGTCTTGAAAGGGATTCGGGCAGTTTCTGTTGGTGGTGACCAATAAGAGGGTGCGGCGTGGCATTTCTCATGCAAAATGCTGCTGATTTCGGTCAACGTTGCATTCCCAGTCTCGAAACTTTCAGACGATGCAGATGAGACAGGAAAACCGCTAAAGTCTACTTCAAGAATCACTATAAATATATGGAGGTCAATTCACCCCTAAATTGTATTTCAAGTGATCCTCTCCAATGCTTACAAAGAGCACAGGGCCACAACCGTTCTTCGCTCGTTACCAGCCACCAGTGCTCGTTGCACTGCTTCCAGCAAGCATTCATTTGCAGTAAAATTTTGTGTTGAACTAGGCTTTGGGAATAGCCCAAACCTCTTTACCAGCATTGCACAGCCTACGTCATTTTCCCAGGTTATGATACTGGTACTACTTTTCTTCGGTGGCAGTACTGCAGACAGTCACTCACCACCACCCCACATGCCTTCTGAGGCGCCTCAGAAGTGTTCGACTTTAGTACGCTCAGCATCTCAGGCGTTGGGCAGCAGCAGCCCCAGCAGCAGGTTGAAGAGCAGCTGCACCCACGTGTTCACAGGGCCTGCCCGGCTGCAGCATTGCATGCAATAGGTCACCCACAACCCCACATGCCTCAAAAGCCTGGCACTCTCAGAAGCATCTCAGCCAGTGGGCACGAGCAGTCCCAGCAGCAGGTTGAATAGCAGCTGCACCCACATGTCCACAGGCCCCGGTGGTGCCTCAGAAGTGTAATAGTACTCTCAGAAGTATCTTGACCAGTGCGCATAAAGCAGTCCCAGCAGCAGGTTGAATAGCAGCTGCACTGCACCCACGTGTCCACAGGCTCCGGGTGGCAGCATTGCAGGTAGTCCCACCGCCGCCCCACACACCTTACGAGCGCCTCAAAAGAGCTACTCCAAACCCTCAACCGCTAGGAACAAGCAGCCCCAGCAGCAGGTTGAAGAGAAGCTGCACCCATGTGTCTCTGGGCCTGGATGCCTGTAGTGCGGGCAGTCCCACCGCCCCAAAAGTGTGCTCTCAGCATCTCAGCAGATTAAACAGCAGCTGCACCCACGTGCCCACGGGGCCCGGGTGGCAATAGTGCCAGCAGTCCCAGCGCCCCACATGCCCATCAACCCGCCACATAAGTGCTACCAAACACCCTCAACCGCTAGGAACAAGCAGCCCCAGCAGCAGGTTGAAGAGAAGCTGCACCCACGTGTCTCTGGGCCCGGATGGCAGTAGTGCAGGCAGTCTCACCGCCCCAAAAGTGTGCTCTCAGCATCTCAGCCAGTGGGAACAAGCAGCCCCAGCGGCAGATTAAACAGCAGCTGCACCCACGTGTCCACGGGGCCCGGGTGGCAATAGTGCAAGCAGTCCCAGCGCCCCACATGCCCATCACCCGCCACATAAGTGCTACCAAACACCCTCAACCGCTAGCACAAGCAGGCCCAGCAGCAGGTTGAACAGCAGCTGCACCCACGTGTCCACAGGGCCCGGGTGGCAGTAGTGCAGCAGTCAGTGTCAGTCACCCACCACCTGGCCACCACTACTAGGCACGAGCAGGCCCAGCAGCAGGTTGAAGAGAAGCTGCACCCACGTGTCCACGGGGCCCGGATGGCAGTAGTGCAAGCAGTCCCAGCGCCCCACATGGCCATCAGGCCGCCACACAGTCGACGCATTCACATCCATGTACACACCCCCCACGCCCTCCACCAGCCGCCTCACAATCCCATTCTGCGCTGCAAACCCGTCCCAGTGCCAGTCGTCATGCGGCAGCTCCAGAAGCTTCTTGGAAAGCGGCTTCCTGTGCAGCCAGCACCCGGGGTGACCAGCAGGGGTGTTTCGGGCGATAATGAGGAGCTCGGGGTGGGCCTGCCGGAGGGCCAGCAGAGTGGACTGCAACTGCCGCTCAAACCTCTCATCTTCAATGTAGTGAGCGCCTCGGTTCATCACCACCATCGATACGTTCTGTGCTGCGATCTCGTCCATCCACGACTCGTCGAAGCTCCTGTCCAGTAAGAAATCGTTCACGTCTTCCGTGGAGTTGAGGTAATAGTCGCGGACGAAGAAAACCTGCACGGAGAAGCCGAGATCCGCGCAGAGGTGGAGGGTCCAGCAGCGCGGGTCTTTCTTCTTGGTCGCGTTTTGGTACCGCTGGCAGTAGGCTGTCGGCTCACCCCACTGTACCTGGGGCTTGGCAGAATCCTCCTCCTGGTCCTTGGCGTTGGCGTTGGCGCCTAGTCTCACGTTGAACCGGATTGCGTCGGCTAAAAGCAGGTTTAATGAGTCGCCCACTATAAGCATGGTTCTTTTGTCCATAACTTCGCAGAACTTTTCTGGGGAGAACTGTTCCCAAGGTGCACCGCATGATCTGCTGCTGCCGTTGGTAGCTCCTGATGCTCCCCCACCCTGCCCGTCTGCGTCGCTTTCTGGAACCTTCCAGAAATACTTAAGAGTATCTCGTACAGCCCACTTACGCATAAGTGCATCCTTCCGTCGCTTGAGCCGCTTCAACTGGTTGACCTGTGGCGCAGGAATCACGTCTCCTCCCCCTATAATCTCCTCTATCTGACTCGCGACCTCCTGAAACTGTCCCACCATGCGATCCGCGTCTTGCAACGCCACGTTGCGCGAGTCCTTTCCCAAGTGGAACGCGTCGCATTTGCTCATCTCGTCCGGCCATGGCAGTAGTCGTGGTGAGACGAAGTGGGACCACTCGCCCTCACGGCCGATGCAATCAAATCTTTCTCGGAAGGATCGGATCTTTTCGGGGGAATCTAGCACGGAGCCTGGGATTCGGGTCCACAGGCTTGGTGCAGGTTCGGATTGAGGAGCTTCGCCGGTAGGAGGGTTGGGAGAAGGTTCAGTTGCAGGTTCGGTGGAGAGTGGGTCGGAAGGAGGTTTGGTAGGTGGATCGGTGGGAGTAAGAGATCCGACACTGGGATCATCGGACGATGGGGATGTCTGTGTGGATGACTCTTCTGGCGCCTCGGTAACTGCTGAGCCTGAGGTAGAGTTTGAGGTAGTGAGGTTTGATGGGAATGCCGTTGTGCTGTTTACAGGCGAAGGGTCGGCGACTGGAAGGCGAGACGACTCGGCTACTGCAGCAACCAGCCGATCGCCGGCAGACGGTTGATTGGTGGGAGACGGTTGATCGACGGCTGACAGTGATTGATTCCCGTCAGGTTGACTGCTGGCGGATGGTTCGAGCAGCAGCTGACTTGTCTCACGCGGCTTCTGTACTTCTGCGAATAGTAACTCGTCGTGTCCAGCTGCTGCTTTTCCCGATCTTTCTGACATGGCCGCGAGCACGTCTGCCACGTCAGGATGGCACGAAGCAGCAATGGAGGCGATTCTTGTATACCGAACGAGGAGAAAGGAGATAAAGTACGTGTATAGCCCAATGAGAGCGAACAAAACGGCGAGAGCGATGGCGACGCGGGCGTGAATAGTTAGTAATTTCTCCGCTTGCCATTTCCGAGGTTTTGTCGTCGCAGCGCCTTCAGGTCCGTCGCAAGCTCTGCTCAGCAAAGCAAGACTCGCTCGCTCTGACGGCGAACAAAGCGGCGCCATAGGGAGCGGTGCGTAGCTGGCGTGTTACTCCTAGGAGGAGTACTAGTCGTCGAGAAGTCGTCGCCGCTGTCGCTCTGTCAATGTTGTGGACACCCTACTTTCAGCGGTGTTTTTTTTTTTTTTAACGAGGTGCAATACAGATACCTTACGATATTAGCTTTCGCGCTGATTAAGAGACTTGATACTATGTCGCCGTTGACGGCGCAACGAGGAGGAGCATATGATAAGCCCGAGGCACGGACGGATGGAGGGTGGATGACCGTACTGTACTTTAGACGGTTATTTGTATCTCTGTACAGTACTGTAACGTGCAGTACGGCGCAGTGCGATAACAGTCCTTACTGAAGGCGTCCGTACGACTTGTACGACTTCTTCAGCTGGAAGTTGGAGGTTGGTGGAACTCGCCTTGTTGAAGGAAATGAAAATCGACGAGAAACTCGGCAGGCCAATTGCAGGCCGGGGAGTGATGGTGGAGGTTATCAGGTCGGAATCCGGATAGCGTTTCGGACCACTGTGTAACGCATAGAAACTCTCAGGAATGACCCAAACCATCTTACGCCCATCGATCTCCCCAAAGCCCAATTGCAGGCTGAGGGGTGGAGGTAGCGGTTATCAGGTGGGATAGCGTTTCGGACCACAGTGTAACGCATGGAAACGCTCCGATCTTACTCAAACCATCTTGCGCCCATTTATTTCCCCGACGCCGGCCGATCAGCACTCTGGAAGGCGAGTGGGGGGCCACGTATATTATCGTGCGGAAACAGCGGACGCTGTGATATTTTTGTTTTTCATACATACACTTTTGTGAATGTGAAACGCGAGGACGTCAAGAGCGCGTACAAGAAAGCACCCCTCCCCGTCTCCCCCCTTCAATGCACAAGCTGAAATCCAGAATCCGTGCATTCGTGAATGGCAAACAAACCTCGTTCCGAATCGCACTAGCCGTTTCAATCCCGTCGCTGGCCCTCAGGAAACAGCTTCAGTCTGCCAATTAAAGCTCGGGTCTCAAATTTCCAAAGGTTTAACACCTGGTTGGGTTTGCCCGTCCGTGATTGGGTAACGAATGACGAAAGTTTTTACGAGCGGGTGAAAAGAACACAGCGAACTCCCCAACAATCAAGGCCAAAACAAACCTGGGTGGGCAGGTTTGGGTGTAAGACGAGCCTTGGGGGACAGGTTTGCGTCTGATTGAGAACTATGCGACCCACCCTGGCGACGCAATCACGTTTTGAGGTTGACAGAAGTGTGAAGTCAGAAAATGAGTGCCCACGCCAAGCAACCATACTCCCGTCGCTGAGCCGTAGTAACACCGAAATAGAAAGCCAGCTAAGCATTATTTCCCCCGTTTACGATTAGTATGAGAGCATCTTCCTTGATCGGGAATGAGAGACGGGATGGGCGGATTTAGAGTGGAAAACGCGGATTGAGATTAGGAAGGGCAGATTGCGACTACTACGGGCGGAATGAGAGTAGGGATGTGCGGAATGAGTTTAGGGTTTGCGTAATGCGATTTGGAACGTCGAAAACAGGTAGGAAGGGCGGTGTGAGATGAAGAAGGGCGGATTGAGAGGCAGAAGGGCGGAATGAGAGGATGAAGGGCGCGATGAGAGAACGAGGGGCGGAATGCGAGGAAGAACGGCGGATGGAGAGGAAAAAGGACGGAAAGAGAGGACGAAGGGCGGAATGAGGAAGAAGGGCGGAATAAGAGGAAGAAGTGCGGAATGAGAGGAAGAAAGGCGGAATGAGAGGAAGAAAGGCGGAATGAGAGGAAAAAGGGCGGTATGAGAGGAAGAAGGGCGGAATGAGAGGAACAAGGGCGGAACGAGATTAAGAAGGGAGGGATGACAGTAGGAAGGGCGGAATGAGAGTATGAAGAGCGGAATGAGATTGCGGATGGGCGAAATGCGAGTAGTTATGATGGAATGAGATTATGGAAGGGCGGAATGAGATCAGGGATGGGCGGAAGGAGATTAGGGGTGGGCGGAATAAGGCGCGGGTTGATGGGGAGGGGGAATGGAGGGGGAGAGCAGGTGCTGCCCGAGGAGGGGGAAGAGAGACGTCGTCCCTTTTGACAGGGAGGTGAGTGCATGGGGGAGGGGATGTACTAGTGGTGAGGGTGGTGGGGAGGAGGAGGGGCAGGGGCTGTGGCATGTGGTGCGGGCATGCGGGGTGGAGTCAGCAGAGGGGCTGAGTGGCGTGGTGGACAAGTGGGGCTGGACCGCCATGCATGTGGCTGCTCGGAATGGTGACTCCCCCGTGGTCAGTCTCACCTGCCTCCCCGCCTGCACCCATGCAGCACAGCCATGCACCAGCTCTCACCCATGCAGCACAGCCATGCACCAGCTCTCACCCATGCAGCACAGCCATGCACCAGCTCTCACCCATGCAGCACAGCCATGCACCAGCTCTCACCCATGCAGCACAGCCATGCACCAGCTCTCACCCATGCAGCACAGCCATGCAGCCCGCTCAACACTCTCTGAACCCACCGTCCATCACGCGTGTGCACTCATCCCTCCCCGTCCACGTGCCTGCACTCACATGCACCTTCAATAATGTCGCAGGCATGGACCGCACTCACCCTGCTGCCCGCTTCTCTCCCTCCCCGCCGTTCTCCCATGCATGTGCCTGCAGCTGCAGGCGCTGTTGCGCATGGGCATGCCAGCGGGGGTGTGCAGCACGCGCAACGCCACCACGCCACTGCACGTGGCGGCGTATGGCGGCCACGTGGACTGCATGTGCCTGCTGGCGGCTGTGCGTGCCTGGCGGCTGTGAGTGCCTTGCGGCTGTGAGTGCCATGATTGGTTCAATGCAAGAACGGTAGAAAGTGCTTCGCTCGTTTCTTTCTCCACCCAGCTTCTTAGCCCTCTTGCCTTCATGCGCTCTACCCTGCGGTGCCCTCTGCACCCCGCTTGAATTGCTCTGGCTCTGCATCTGCTTCCAGAGCCGCTTTCCTCCTCTTTGTATCCCTCCGCCTTCTCTCATCCACCATCCGCCCCCCGCTCTCTGCCCTCTGCCCTCCCCCAGGGACTCCATTACACAATGCAGTGACCAAGCAGCAGTGGGAGGCAGTGAGATGACTTGCACACCAGGGAATAGAGCCAGCAGAGGTAGAAGCAGCGGGGGCCAACCCCAAGGCGGTTCAGATAGTGTGGGAGGAGCATGCGCGGCGGGCAGGCCAAGGAGGGGAGAGGGGGCATGGGTTTTGGAAGGATGGTGGTGTGGGTGCGAGCTGAGTGGGTGAATTCCTTGTGCTTGATTATCACCATGATGTATGATTGCCTGCTGCCACTGCTTAGTGGCAGAACACAAGGAGGACAGGGTGCTGAGCAGTGGGAAGGGGCGGGAGGGGGGGGTTATAGAGCCGCTCCCAGGGCAGTGGGGAAGGTGAGAGGTGGGGATGAAGCAGGGTGGATGCTTCAGTAGCGCTTGTGGGCCACTCGCTGCTGCTCGCTGCCCGCCTCCTCGCCTCCACTTGATTACCCTCTGCCTTGATTCTGTGCTCTATTTCTGAGTGCTCATCTTGTCTCCCCTTTCCCCTCTCATCTCCACTCTACCCCATCCCTCTTCCTGCCCTCCTGTCCCCATCCTTCTCCCTCAGGAGAGCCGTACACCAACTGCACCGCTCTGAACCCATTTGTGCAGTGGAATCTGCAGCCGCTGCTACCAGCCACTCCCCCCTCCTTCACCCTCACCTCACCACCCCCACCCGCCTTCACGCCGCCATACGCCCTCTCGTCCATCTGCTTGTGGACGTCCCTCTCCGCCATCGCACCTGGTCGCACACAAGCAACAGCCCTCCTGCCACTGCCGCCACACACAAAGCCTGCTGATGCAGATGCTGGCAGTGGAGGCGAGAAGGCAGTGGGGGGCGCAGTTGGTTCGAGTCAGGGCGTGCAGGGGGAGTGGGCAGTGGCGGGGTATGAGGCGATGCGTGTGGTGCAGGTGGGGGGTGGGTGGCGCCAGGGCAGCTATGGCCTGCCCTCCTCCCTCGCTGCCTCTGCTGCACCTGCTGTGTCTGGAAGGCAAGGTGACTTGTCTGGAAACCTTCGTTGCACTTCTTTGTAGTGATCAACTGAATGGCTCAGTTCAGTATCCTAAACACTGAAGTGATTTTTATAAAGAAGCATCCAACATTGATACATGTCATGGGTACTTGTCAAACCGGTACTATTTAATAGCTAAAGCTTAACAAAATTCATGCGTGGCGGACCAGTTCTGACAAAATCCTGAGTGTCAAGGCTGAAGCAGCTGGAGAAGAGGGAGGCTGAAAAGGAGGGGAGGGAAAGGGGGAAATGAGGGGAAGGAGTGAGTAAATTGATGGGGAGCACAAGGGGAAATTATTTTATAGCAGAGGGGGTTCTGTATTGACCTGGTGCAGTAGGGGAATTGATGGGAAAGCAGAGCTGTAATTTATGGGGAGCGGAGGGGGGGATAACAGGGAGCAGAGGGGGGAATAAGAGGGAGCAGAGGGGGGAATGAGAGGGAGCAGAGGGGGGAATGAGAGGGAACAGGGGGGGGGGAATGACAGGGAGCAGAGGGGGGAATGAGAGGGAACAGGGGGGGGGGGATGATAGGGAGCAGAGGGGGGAATGAGAGGGAGCAGAGGGGGGAATGAGAGGGAGCGGAGGGGGGAATGAGAGGGAACAGGGGGGGGGGGGGGATGATAGGGAGCAGAGGGGGGAATGAGAGGGAGCAGAGGGGGGAATGAGAGGGAGCAGAGGGGGGAATGAGAGGGAGCAGGGGGGGGGGGGAATGACAGGGAGCAGAGGGGGGAATGAGAGGGAGCGGAGGGGGGATTGGGGGGAAATTAGGGGAATTTATCGCAAACTGGTATATCACCCTTCCTTCCCCCCTCTGTCCTCTCCTCCTTCCCCCCCGCAGAACATGATTGCATACAACACACAAGAAACAGGTGGTGGTACGGTGTAAAGCATGGACTAGCTTTAGCTGCGCCTCAGCTTGCTCTTCTGCTTCACCACTGAAAATTAGGGGAGTGGAGTAGGCAGAAAGAATTGTGTGAATGAACATGGGGGAGGTGGTGTGAGGTGCCAAGGGAACAACTGCAAGGGAACACAAGCAAGCGCACATGATGAAATAATGTATGGGGAGACAGTGATGGGTGCACGTGCATGGGAACTAGAGGGTGGAAGGTGAGGAGTGAGGGGGAAGGGGAGGGCATGAAAAGGAAGGGAAGGGTTGAGAAGGGATGGGGAAGGAAAGCGCAGGGCAGGGAGGGAAAGGCAGGCATTGGGAGGGCAGGTGACAACTGGGCAGAGGGTGGGGGGAAGGAGAGTGCGAGTGGGAGAGGACGGAGAGAGAGAGTGCGGGAGGAAAGGAGAGTGAGAGTGCGGGTGCCAGGGGATGGGGGGAAGCAGGAAAGGGGATGGGGGGAAGCAGGGAAGGGGATGGGGGGAAGCTGGGAAGGGGATGGGGGGAAGAAGGGGAGGGGATGGGGGGAAGCAGGGAAGGGGATGGGGGGAAGCAGGGAAGGAGGGGTAGCACCGGGGGGAAAGGAGGAGAAGCAGGGGGGGATAGGAGGGGTAGCACCGGGTCTCCCCCCCTCTCAGCGCACCTTCTCCCCCCCTCTGTCCTCTCCTCCTCCCCCCTCTCAGCGCACCTTCTCCCCCCCTCTGTCCTCTCCTCCTCCCCCCTCTCATGTAGTGCTTGACATACCCGCACCATGCGCGATTACGTGACGAATGGCGCGTGAGATTACAGGCGCATTCGCGCTGATGCTAAAGAGGCGCCTCATGCCTATAGCGGGGCGAGCGCTGAGGCTCAGGTGGCGCGTGATGCCTACAGCGGGGCGCACTCAGCTGCTTGCGGTGTGCGCGCTGCTTACAGCTGGGTGCGCGCCCCTTGAAGGGAGGTGTGCGCGCGCTCACCGGCAGGGTACACACCTTTCCCGCGTCTCGGCGGGCCTTAGTCCCGCGACTTCGGTGATATCGCCCCATTGCCGCGTTTGCCGCGTTTGGCTCGTCCCTATCGTCCTTTCCACCCTTCATGCTACTGCGACCTTCCCCTTTCACCTAATAAGGGCGGTTGATGAATGGCGATGAACCCCACGCCGGCAGTTTTTGGCGAGGAGAGGACGAAGGTGGGGATTGGACACGCTAAATTTGATGATTTTCCCGTGTTCGGGCTTAGAGAATGCGGGTCACGGAATGCGCCAAGGTCTATAGGCGCACGGTTTCCCCTACATCATGATCGCGACTGAGTTTTCAAGGCTAGCTATACTAAAAGACGTGGCATATGGCTGGTAAAACACTTGAACTGGTGCCTACACGAACCGTTTTGTCAAAGTTGAGAGTTCTGAGTCTCATAATTCTGAGAGCTGTAAATGCTTGGTTTGCACGGGGAAGTGTGCGACGATGCCTCTGTTGTCGCACGTTTTTCTGTACACCTGTAGATTGGTTCGTGCAGGTGTGTTTCCCAACCTGCGTTGTCGTATTCCTGTCCCAACCAACTTTGCAACACGTTGTTTCCCTTTGGTTTGGTTTTGCCTGGAACGAGGCCCTGTTTCAAACCTCTCCCAACCAACCTTCCCAAACCACCCCTTGCCTTGGTGTGCTTTGCGACAAACCCAGCTGTTACCGGATCCCAAGCGTTTAACACTTGGTCGGAAGGGTGAAATTTGAGACGCGAGCTTTAACCGTTGGAATGACGCCGCGAATGCGCAAGTTGCCCTAGTCACTTTGACGAACCGGACGGGTAGCTGCCCTCGAGGTCCTCCTTCCTCCCAGTACCTCTGGCGGTATACCACTTTTTCCTGCCACGTGCAAATCGTGGCCCCGATTTTGTATATCAGGTTTATTCCGAGGAGCTGATCGTAGTCCTCCAATTCCGAGACACCGCAGCGCAGGCGTATCTTGCACTCATCCTTCTCGCCTGGTGTCAGCACAATCTCCACTGGTCTCTTTGTGCACGGTAGCCACTTCGGCTCTCCGCCCTCCGCCGTCATCACGAGGATGTCGCGCGTCTGCAGCCTCTCGGGTTAGTTTAGCAACATCTGCTCGGCCAGTCCTTTGCCAATCAGCATGTGGTGAGCGCCGGTATCCACAATCGCCATTTCCACGGATACCCCGACCACCGATATGGCTCTTTTCGCGACTGCCAAGACGGTCGACTGGCACACCAATCTTTCGCGCGGGTGCCGATGCCGACTCCTCCTACTCCGGATCCGACTCACACCTACGTGCATCGACCCATAGATCTCGTGGCTTCCTCCATCGGAGCGGGTTGCCGCCTCGCCCATCTGGCACACCCTTCACATGGCGCGTTCTAGCCATTAGCTTGAAGGACGCTTCCGTGTGGCACTCTTCCTCTTCCTCCCCAGCGAACATCACGGCTTCCGGCGTCGGACTCTCCTCCAGACGCTCCAATTGCGCTTGTAATTCTTCATCTCCGCCTCAATTTCTTCTCGTTTCTTGAATCTCCCCCTTGGCGGCTTCCGCGCCTCAATTTCTTATCGTTTCTTGAATCTCCCCCTTGGCGGCTTCCGCGCGAGCAGTCCTCCTCCTTGTGTCCTTTCCGTTCGCACGACTTGCAGGTGGGCGCTCTGGGACAATCCCTCTTGAAGTGCCCCGGTTCACCGCAGATATCGCATCAGGGTGCTTCCGAGCAGTCCCGTTGCAGGTGGCCGGCCTGTCCGCAGCGATGACACTTCCTTCGGTCCGCCCATGCTTGCTCCTCTCCGCGCCTTGCTGCCTCCCGGCGGCCTGCTTCTCCTTGTGGCATGACTGACCATGCTCCTCACCGACGTTCAGTTCCCCGAGCTTCCGCGCGCTCGAGGGAAGTACAGCTTCTGTCCTGTCTCGTACCGCCTGGCCAGTTCGCATACTTGCTCCAGCGAGGCCTCCCAGCCCAGGTCAAAGACCTTGCTTTTGAGCGCCTTCACCATGTCCTCATCCAGGCATCCCAGGAATTTTCCGATGAGCCGCCTGCTGTCGGAACATTCCATGTCCGCGGCCAGTTCCCTCAGGCGCCCATAGTAGCTGAGCAAAGACTCCCCACGTCAACGCGCGAACCTCGCGAACTCCCGTATTTTCTTCGGAGTCTGCACCGGGAACTGCCGCTGCAGCCTGCGTATGAACTCCTCCACAATCTCCCAGCTGCGAGGATCTCCCCGGCGATGCTCCCGAATCATCTCCACCATGACCATCCGGTAGTACGTCTCGGCCTCTCCGGTCAGCATGTTGGACAGGCCGCGGAAAAACTCCTCTAGCTCCAATCCATCCCTCTCCCAGCGGTAGTGGGAGTTCTCCACATGCATCACGTAATTTCGCAAATCCGCTCCCTCGCCTTGCCTTCCCGCAAACCTCTCAGGGACTCGGACTTCTGGCAGGTTCGTGTAGCGCCAACGGGCGTAGCTTCGCCCTTCATCCTGTCAGATATATATGCCTTAGCTGATGTAGGCTATTGTGGGGTAGCACATATGGGGTACAACATATTTCTAGGGTTTGTACTTATACCCAACCTTTCCCTTAGTCATTCATTCCTTGTTCTTTTCACATGGTATAGAGCAGGTTCCCTAGTGGGAACGTTTCCTAGGGCCCACCGAAAATCGATTTTTTTTTCCTGCCCGGAGCGCGCTCCGCCCCTGCCCGAGTCGCGCCCCGTGTTCCTACCCTCCCGTCGCGTCCCCTGCCCTTAGCGGCCCGTCGCGCTCTCTTACGGCCCCGTAGCGGCCCCCTCTCACGGCCCCTCACGGCCCCTTCGCGGCCCCTCGCGGCCCCTCTCACGGCCCTTCGCGCCCCCCCCCCCCCCCCCCCCCCCCCTTTCCGGCCCCTCGCGGCCCCTTCGTGGCCCCTCGCGGCCCCCTTCGCGGCTCCGTCGCCGCCCTTCGCGGCCCCTCACGGCCCCGTCGCCGCCCTTCGCGGCCCCTCACGGCCCCGTCGCCGCCCTTCGCGGCCCCTCACGGCCCCGTCGCCGCCCTTCGCGGCCCCTCACGGCCCCGTCGCCGCCCTTCGCGGCCCCTCACGGCCCCGTCGCCGCCCTTCGCGGCCCCTCACGGCCCCGTCGTCGCCCTTCGCGGCCCCTCACGGCCCCGTCGCCGCCCTTCGCGG